CTTATAACTCACAAATCATGATTCAATTCCGCACCGGAGGCGAACCCTTCCTTCCCCCTTTGCCGCAGGGCCAGGACAAACTGCAAGTCTGCAACCGCGTCCAAGCCTCTCTCCCATTGTTTCTCTCTCTCTTTTTTTTTTTTTTTTGCCGGGAATCTCCCGGTAACAAGATTCTCCAACGCGCCACTTTCCCCCCAATGTGCCGTCTCTCGTCTGCCTTGCCAAAAGTTTGTTACAAGTACTCCTTTGGATTATCCCCATGTGGAAATCCCGTATCAGCTAATGTGTACTCGAGTACTGATATAAAATACAAAACTATACGTACAAGTAGGCCTCCCAGCCTCGTTTGGGAACCATTTATACTTGAAGCGATCCCGAATATCCAACCTGACTCCCACTCTCATGGCTAAACCCCTCGGTAATTGCTGGGACCACTAGGGGGTCTTTTCTTGACGATTGGGTATTCTGTTCTCTTCGCTGTGTTGTCCGGAGAGAGATGCTGGACGAGTATAGTGTCGTCGGGGGGATTTTTGTCCTGTACTAGTAGAGTACGAGTACTAGTACTGGGTCTCAAATGATAGCGCAAACAAATTTTCCCTGGACATTCTAGACATGGCATGCTGAAACGATAACGGTCGTCACAAAGACGCCTTCCCGCCGGGTGTGAGCGAGGGAGCCATAGCGAGTTGCGTGTTGTATTTTGCCTACTCGTACTCGAATAGGGTAGTCTAAGGGTAACAAAGAATAAAAGTCAGGGGAAAAGGGGTCCGAGCTCTAAAATAGGATCAATCAATCCCAGATTCGGCCCAGAATGGAGCGTACGGTACGGCAGGATTGGTAGTGTAGGAATAAAGGAGATCAAAATAGCCACGATGAATTTCAAGAGGAGAAGAGGAGAGGAGAGAAGAGAACCGCACATAAATATTGACTATTTTCTCTACCTGTGGGCGGGACTGGTGGTTAAGCGTTAAGCTATGTACGGTAGCTTGGTGGTGATGCAAGATGCGAGATGGAAGGGGGAAGGGTTGGGGTTGCTGTACCGGCAATTGGCGTCAAGTGCATAACGAGGTGGCTGGTTGCATAGAAAAAGGCGAGATGCGAGTGACGAGTTGAAAAGTTTGCAATTGAGCTTGTAAATATCATACGAGTACAGTACTCGAGTACTCGTAAAGTACGTACGGTAGGGGTGGAGTAGGAGGAGCAAGGTGTGTTGAAGGTTCACAGGAGTGTGGTGCCTATGGGAGCACCGCGAATTTGCACGGATCGCCATTGGTGAATAGGAAGAAAGGAAAAAGCACAGCTTTGGGTGTTCCTGATTTACGTTAGCGACACGTGGTATCTGGGATAATCAACTAGGGGATCGCCTGTCGCCTGCCGGAGCCATCACCAAGTTTTGTTTGGGCTGCGGGTGAGATTATTGTATCATTCACGATACCAGTACGAGTACTCGAGTACTCTCGTACTTCGATGCTTGTACCTGTTGTATATTGGGGGGCAAGAGATGCACAGTTGGAGGGGTAGATTTGATTTTAAGAGATTATGTTTCCATGGGTCTGTTTTCTTTGGGACGAATGGGAAGCAAAGAGCGGGGAGAAGATGAGGCTTTCGGGCTGACAAATGAATACTCGAGTTGTTGACTGTGATTTCGCCCACCGATATTCAGTCTCAGATGACGGCATTGTTGATCGTTTGCTTCTCTCCATGTGTTCGAACTTGTGACAGCTGTCCATTTTCTCAGGCTGTGTGTGAAGAAAGTGGTAGCAAAGATTCGAGCGGTGGGAAACGTGGGAAAGTTTGGGAAAATTGAAAAGTGCACAGGCAAAAAGCAAATCCGGCGGAAGCGACCTACTCGAGTACAAGTACAGTACTCGTAGAACAGTGAGAGGAGTGAGAAGCGGTTGACCGTAAAGAGTTTAGTGGGTCTAGTGGGATCTCTCGAGACCTCCAGGACCCTTTCTGAGCGTCGAGTAAAAAAATGGTTGACACATGCATATGGCGACCCCAAGCACAACCACAACTACGGGAGCATAATACTCGAGTACAAGTAATTTCATTTTCTACCTCCCACCAGTGGTCTACAACCACACTTTCCTCCGCCGGCGAGCGGGCAGACGGATGTTTGGCCCTCACTTGTACCTATACTATATAAACTTATTGAACCGTCAATCCGATATCCGGGGAGTGAAGGGGAGTGAATGTGGGAGGGAGGGAGGGAGGGGGAGGAAGGCAAGAAAGAGGGACGGATGGGATCAGGAACAAACAAAGCGAAATAAGGGGAAGGGGAGGGAAGGGAAGGGAAGGGAAGTGAGTTGAAAAAGAAAAAAGAAAAAAAAAAGATATGGAAAAAAGGAAGAAGAAAAAAAAGACAATAAAGTATTATAATATATCTACCGTACTTGTACTGTAGTAAGGAAAAACAAAATAAATTTAGCAAGCAAAGTCGAATTGACGTCCTCCTTCCCCCCGTCCCACCACCTGCCGCCTCTTTACTTGCTCCCTTCATCACCCCCCCCCAAAGGGCTCTTTCCCGTTCCCTCATATTCTTCCCATTTGATGGCCCTTAATGACTTCACCGCCTTACAAGCTACTTGTATCCTCATCCCAAAATCCGTGACGAGATACTGGTAGCCTCTGGGACGTGCCTTAAAACTTACTTCACTCATTCATATATGCACACCATCTCTCTCACTTCTCATGCTCCTACCCACTTCTCCCCTGTACCGGTATACAAGAGATCGTTTATACTCGTACTTGTTCGCCTGCCCCCTGCCCTCTGTCAGTCCTTCTTTACTTACACCGTTACCCACAGCTTGCTCTTTTTGTCCAACATCACTGATCCCTCCATCCATCCTTCTCACTCCAACTCCCATTTATCCCAGCAGGTGGGTGCATCAGGTACTACCCATTCGGGACGAAAAGGTTACTACGGTCCACCCCAAAACAAAAAAGAAAAGAAGAAAAAAAATAATCTTTGGGAAACTGGTACTTGTAAACCCCCCACATCCTCCTACGAGTAATACTTCCTCTCCTCTTTCCCTCCCAAACCCTCCCTTTACCGCCCGGGCTTTCCATCCAGGGAGAGGGAATCTGCAGCTGCATCTAAACCCTGTCCAAGAAAGTATTGCCATCCTTGCTGCTCGCCTTGGGTTCGGTCCCATATTTTTTTCGTCCGGTTTTCTTGTTCTTCTGGACGGTAGTGGAAGCACGGCAGTAGCCAGAAGTGTGAGCGACCTTCCCACACCTGCATCACTACTCCTAGTTGGGCCTTCTTTGAACCTGCTCTCCATCACTTGGTTCGCGCTTGCCCATCGTCAAAATTTGAGGGTTTCCAAATTCTGACAAGCGGTCAGATCGCTGCGATCTCCTCCCCACCAGCGCCGTTCCTACCCCCACCCACCCCCCCCCCTTTCTATCACCCCCTCCCTTTTTGTCCCCCTTTCCCCGAAGCCTTAATACTTTTCACCTTGCTGCCCCAAAAACCATCCACACAGGTTTATTTTTCCCAGTTAAACGCTCTTCATATCCGTACGAGAAGCCCGCCTGCTCATGACGAGCTTCCGTTCATCAAATCCGAAGGAAGACAATCCCCAGTGGTACCGTCTCGGCTTGCTTGGTCGGCGCGGTAAGCACCGCTCTCCTGCAGAGTCTTGTGTATCTGGAAGTCCAACAACTTCAGTTCTCGGCGACCCTCCAACTCGTCAGCGACGTTTTGGATTAAGACGCCTAGCTAGTGATTCTCACCTTGGTGATCGCTTTTCTACCAATTCTAACGCACGCTCATTTGCACCTTCAGTTGCGTCTACGAATCGTGCACCTTCTATCGCATCAGAATCGCAAGCGATTACTCGTCCCGGGACCGGCTCGATGGCTGGTATGTTAGATATGGACCGCTCGCGGAACCGCCGCGATAGAACTTTTATCGGCAATCGTTGTGCTGTTTGCGACGAACCTTTAGAACATACTCTCCGCGGAGAGCGTGTGCTCCAGTTCTCATGTGCTCATGTGTCTCATGAGGCTTGCTTCTACGAATACATCAAAGAGGTTGATACCCAATTTTGCCCAGAGTGCAATGCCCCTTTGGGGCTTGATTCGAGTCGTGGTGGAAATGTATTGGATATTGGTATGTTGCCAACACCCCATGTGGGTTGCCTTTAGATGCTAACACCGCTTAGAAAAACTGAGTAGTATTGTAAGATCTGTATCTGTTGCTGAAACTGGGGGGGCGCCTAGAGACCGGGGGGCCCGTGAACGCGAGCGGGAGCGGGAACGGGAACGAGAGAGGGCGCGAGACAGGGATAGAGATCAGCATAGAGAAAAAGAGAGGGAGAGAGAATTGGCCTCGCCACAGTATGAGAGTTATAGTACCAGGACACGAAGTCGACAGGGAAGCCGGACGTCTAGTTTGAATAGAGAGAGTCGGGTGGAGAGCCGAGGCGATGTGAGGGATTCCACAGGCCCACGACACGAGAACGGACACTGGAGGAATAATAGTGGCGTTTCGGGTGGTGAATTTCCTGACCCAGCACTCGCCCCAACCACTATTCGTCGTCATGACTACGATGTTCAAAGCCTGGAAAGCGAGCTCAACTCGAGGAATTTGATGGCGAGTCCCATACCACCCCCCACCGTTACTGTTAAAAGTGAATTTCCAACCATTACACGATCAAAGGCCCAGCAAAGCCTTACATGTCTGGTAACCGTGGAGATTCCTGATAGGAAAATGCAACCTCTATATCCGGAAGACTCGATACCCCCTGTGCCGGCTCTCCCAACAACATATGAGCAATCATATCATCCTTCGAGCCCGACGAATCGGAGCCAGTATTCCTTTGAGCGGGAGGGGGCGGGAACAAGGCAGAGGGAACGTGATGTGGAGAAGGAACAGGAAAATGAAGTATTAGCTGCCATCACGGACGATCTTCGTTTGAGGGTTGAAAATTGGCATGGCCTTGATTTTGGAAGGTAAGGTTTTGTATTTTGTGCAGGTTCATCGTATTAGTGGCTAATGGGGATAGGTTCGGCAAACTCCGTCTTCACGGAACCATCAAAGTTGGCAAGGACTGTCAAGCATGGCAAGAGTTAGAGTGCTACCTCTTCTCAGAGATGCTTATCTGTGTCAAGGACAAGAAGAGCTCTGCGTCTGCCTCCCAATGGACTAATGGCGTTAACAAAAAGCGAAGTGTTAAGTGCACGTTGAAAGGGTCTATTCTCATAAAGAAACATTTGAAGAAAGTTAGCGATTCGAGTTCACCAGGTAAGTCTTGTTTCCCCCACTCCACCTACCTAAGTCTAATCAATTGTATCCAGATGAAAATATGCACATTCTCACCTTGAGTCTTTCTGTTGCCGAGCTGCCCCAATTTCATCTATTGTTTCCCACCAGTGCTCAGATGGATCAATGGCATCGTGCCTTGCTGGATTTGAATGCTGTGGAGCTTGCATCGACAATGAGAAGCCCTCGGTATGAAGACAAGCGGGGTTCTAATTCTGATGAAGATGACGACTTTCGCGCTACGAAAACAACCAGGCGAGTATCCTCTGTCAACTCGGCCTATAGTGGGACACATGGTGGAGGGAGGTCTGTCGTCACGGCACCTACTGAGTATACTGCGTCTATCAGAGGAGCAAAGCCACAGATATCCCCAGCTGTTCACATTCCTCTCGATATTGTTGTCGTTATCCCGGTCTCATCATCCATGCAAGGTCTCAAAATCAATCTGATCCGCGACTCACTCAAATTTCTTATTCACAATCTTGGAGAACGGGATCGGATGGGGCTGGTGACATTTGGGTCGAGTAGTGGAGGAGTTGCCTTGACTCCACTATCGGTAAAGAGCTGGAGCGGTTGGGCCAAAGTTGTCAACTCTATTCGGCCTGTAGGCCAGAAGAGTTTGCGCACTGATGTGGTTGACGGAGCCAATGTCGCAATGGACTTGCTAATGCAGAGGAAATCGAGCAACCCTATTGCATCTATTCTTTTGATTAGTGATTCCTCAACATCTGATACTGAAAATGTGGATTTCGTGGTATCCAGGGCAGAAGCGGCAAAGTGGGTAATCTAAATTTCAGGTGTTCGATACTAGTTATACTAATACTCTCATAGAATCACAATTCACTCATTCGGCCTTGGACTCACACATAAACCGGATACCATGATCGAACTTTCAACTCGGACCAAGGGCCAATTCACTTACGTCAAGGATTGGATGATGTTGCGCGAATGTGTGGCAGGATGCATCGGCGCTCTCCAAACGCTTTCGCACCAGAACGCCAAACTCAGACTAAAACTCCCAGAAGGATCTCCCGCGAGGTTTGTCAAGATCAGTGGAGCCTTACATGTGTCGAAGAGATCATCTGGGAGGGAAGCAGAAGCTGCTCTTGGAGATCTTCACTTTGGTGACAAGAAAGGTTTGTTTTTTCGTGCTTTGACAAGGAGGGAAGTCAAGGCTGATTGATGGGTTTAGATGTTTTGGTTCAATTGGTTATCTCCCCGGATAGTTCGCAGGGCGAAATGGCTCCTCAAGATGCATGGGAATCAATCGTGTCTGGATTAGAGGCATTAGGGGGCTCAGCCGACCAGGATGAATCAAGGACTATCAGTATCGAGGAGGTGCCGCTCATCCAAGCGGATTTGACATACGGCGATATTCAGCGGGATGGAACACTTTCGCAGCTGTCTCGGCCACATTTGCTCGCTATCACGATGCTTCCAGCCAGTCCTCGGAAGGGCAGCAGGCCAGGATCGCCACCGATCCCCCCTCATCCGATGGTGGTACAACGACGTATGGAACTATTAACCTCAGATATGTTGAGTCGTGCTTTGACGCTTATATCTCGGGGTCAACACGATCGTGCGCATACCTTACTTACCGAGACCCGAACAATCCTTAAGGGGCTTGGGAAAGGAGGTTTGCCGCCTCTTCCCTCGCCCTCACCGTCCATCCCTCTGCCTGAAGTCCCTGAAGGGGGCTCGAGTGGACATACGCCGACAGCGACCCCACCACTTGAGACAAACTTTACGCCTGCCTCAGTAATTGATGCTGCGACCGTGTCAGCCTTAGATGCAGAGCTAGAGTCGGCACTTGAATGGATCAGCCATCCGGCGGTTTTTGCCAGAGACTCCCGAAAAGCCGTTCTCCAAGCCATTGGTGTCATTGCATCCCAGAGGTCTGTCACTTTTAGGTAATTCATGCCAACTCCCATCAAAGAATTGGTAATGGCTAAAAAAATCCCGATGACAGAACTGCCTGCGAGTCGATTTACGCTCAGAGAGTCGCCGGTGTCAAGCGGCTTTCTATTCAGGCACGAGAATGGCGAGATACGGAAGACTCCCTTATGGAAGAGGATTAGATTATATTGAACTCTACTAAAGTTTTCCTAATTGTGCTGGTTTGTCGTGTGAATTGTTAGGAGTCAACTCTACGGTGCTTTGGGCTGTTTTTTTCATTTCTTTTCCTTTTCCTTGGCCTTTTCTTGTATTATTTGGGTGAGGTGTTATCTGGGAAGGAGGTAAAATATTTTAGGGCGGTTTCTTATAGCCTCTACGGCAATTGGCCGTCATGTTATTTTTTATTAGTAAGAGTTATTTAGGATGGGATAGTCTACGAGCTTGCTACTCGTAGGGGCGGTGTCAGTGAGTACTGCGTACGATGCCCCATTTCTTTGTTCAACTTTGTGGCGATTGTTTCTATTGCCATTTCTCTTGTATAATAGAAATTATACCCACTTTTTCCACTTTCTCTCCTTCTTTTCTCTGTTCGATATTACTATCCGCTTGAGACACTTGGCGCAATACACTGGACGCCCTTTACTGCCCACAAATTCGGTACGCTCCACAGTGACACCGTTCTGGGGCAGAGTGCAGTACCATACTCGAGTGTTTGAGGCCCCCAAGGCCCGGTGTTGCGCTTGTGGCATGAGTCCATGGATGAAGTGTCAACTGAGGGATGTTGCGGCGGTATAATCTAATCCTACCTAAGTAATAAAAAAAGCCATGTTATTACGTCGTAGACTGTAAAATTCTCTTACTACTTTTATTGATAGGGGGAACCATACTCGTATCATATGGTGCCGGACAACCTAAATCTGCCCATAATGTTGATGAAATAACGAGAAATATGAAGAACAACACAACTGGATTGAGATGTGGAGGATTAGAAAGATCTGTATTCATTAGTGAAATTTACCAAAGGAAATTAGAGAAAAATGATTCCTAAAGGTAATACTGCTCGGAGAATAGGAGGCATTTTAGGTGAGACTGTGGAACTTGGCCAGGCAGGGAATATGCCAAAAAGTCAAGATATTTAGTCAAACTTAGTATGAGTAATATTCAGTGAATAAAACTATTCCAATTTAGGTTAAGTGCTAAAATTAAGCCGAGAAAGAAATAAAAAGAGAGAAAAATAGAGAAACATGTAATTGTTGCTAGTAAATTGTGCGTCAAACAGAAAATTTACCAATATTCAAGGTGATATGTTTGTGCCTTATTATCTCAGACAACCAAAATTCAGAGAATAAGACGAGAACAGCAGCAAAATAGGGACATGGGCTGAGGTTTCCCAGTGAGGAAAATAGAAATCTCAGATATTTAAGGGGAAAGTGAGATATCTGAATTACCAATACTTGAGATAGTGTTAGGAATACTGGGATCTGATACCTAGAAACCACCCTAAGTAGGATAACCCCGCTCAGAATCGGAATCTCTGGCTTCGAATACTGCCCTCCAGCCCCCTTATGGGACCCGCATATTATCATACGTACTTATCTCAATTATGTCCTGTAACTATAAAACTACAGAATTTAAGAAATAAGAATAATACTATATACGTCACTGCTGTCTATCTGACCGTATCCTGTTCACAGGACATATAAGAGAAGACCTTCGACTAAGTCTGGGAAGTAGAACAGAGTGAATCCATCAACTACTCAGAGAGCTACAAGACTTCAAAGTTGTGACAACTTTGGCAAAGACTGTAAGTAGCAGGATGTTTTTACATAAAGAGAGGGTATCAAATGTTAAAGGATTTTTACAAGAGAACAATATATTTGGACCTACCCTATGATAACTAGAAGAGCCTAGAACTCCGAGAAATACTACCACAAAAGCCAATAGTCATCATGGAGTATTATAACTGGACCTAAGAATGTATTATCGTTGTGGGAATAATTCCCAATACCAGAACATTGACTGAAACCCTGTTACCCAGAGCAACTAAGAGTTGCCAACTGCGGGATTATCTATCAATCTGGTAGAATGGCTTCCTGAAAATTAGTTAGAAGTTATTCAGAAAATATCTATTAGTTGGATCCAGAGTTATGGAGGTTAAAAGTCAGGCGATCTAGGAAGATTGAAATTACAACGACCTCTACTGATACAACTTTCAGATGAAACTGATCATTTTATCAATAAGGAAGACAATTGGGGCTAACTCAGTTTGACTTGAGAACTAGGCCACTAGTCTAAACCCTTTAATGATCGAATAACAACTATTGAAAACAGTATAGTTCCTAGTTAGCAATATCCTAATTACCAAATAGGGTGTGGTAGTTTTCCGGGTCTCCAGGTATTCCCACCTTTGAAGAATACATGAGATTGCAAGTTATAAGTAGAGAGGTACATAGTTTGTGTAATAGATAGATGTAGTCTACAAACACTCAGATACGGAATATAAATATCGAAGTACCTTCCAAGCTTTTAGACATCATCAAGCAATGGAGCAGAGACCTTAACAATCTAATATTGTTCTTGTGATTCTATTTTACTTTACCTACATCACCTTTCTCTAAGTTGTCACAAATACAATGAGTATAGTTTCAGCCTTCCTAGACAATCTCCATCTACAGAAATAAATCTTAGTTGGCCTAGACAACTCAGAGTCTATACAGGTTATCTCTGCCTAACAGATAGCAAGGTGCAATAGCAATAGTATGTGGAAAGGGCAAAACCCAGCGGAACAAGACTCTGGCGAGTACAAGGAAGAAGAAAAAAACAAAAAGCCAGGAGTGAGAAGTAGTAGGTGACCTTCCAGTAGTATAAGCTAAAATCCTCATAAATGCATAATCAGAATACTAATCAAAATAAAATAGAATGAGGAGAAACAAAAAGAGAGATAGGAAATATTGTCGGACAAGTCAGATACAATGCCTAGCAGTAATATAGAGCCTAATAGCTCAGATGAGGGTGAATCAAAATTTGACAGTATTACTGCAGAGTACCGTGATCTAAGTCACTCTAAACTTATGGATACAGGAGGTGAAGATGAATGTGAGCAGAAAGGAAAAAAAGTAGAAGAGTTGAGAAATAGAGAGTGGATTCTGGAACATACCTTCAGGCAAGCTGGGGATGGGGTGCAAAGTGAAGTAATCGAAGGAAATGAGAGGGAGTGTACCTAATCAAGGAAGAACTATCTAAATGTTATGACATTTGGGTACTTTGGGAGTAGGCAAGACTTGAAAGAATCTGTAGGGATCCAGGAAACAATAGGTTGGGAAGCAGAAATGGTTTTCTTCCAAACCAAGACTATATATATGCCTTTACTGGAAGAAGTACTCAAAGCCTCCAGTCCAGTAACAAGGAAGCTAACAAGATCTAAGCAGGAAAGTATGATTTCTGACCACATATACCTATTAAATTACAAAAGAAAATTAAGGAAATGAATAAAGATTTTGGTATGCTTAAAGGAATATATTGGCTTCAGTATATAATAGTTTTACAGTTTCTATGTACTCAGCTCTGAAAGAAAAATAATGGAGTAAAAGGGTGAATAATTGCATTTCAAGTAGCTAATAGCTATGGGTAGAGAATACATACAGTACATAGACTAGTTCAATGGGAGTCTTCATACGTTGAGAAAACAAAAGTTCTGAGAGAAAGGCAGGGCTGTGGTGATAGGAGGTTAGTTACAGGGTTTGAAGATAAAGGTATACTATTGGCTATGAGAGAATATATTATAAGACCTGGTGAAAGTAAGTATATCTATAGAACTAAATTCTGCTTGGAATTAATACACAGACATGAGAGAATAATATTGGAAAAAGATAGCTAATAAATTGAAAAACAGAGGTTACGTCAAGAGGTTCAGCCAAAGTAGTAGCAAGTTACCTAAAGTTATTCAACATAAATTAAGCAGCAGAATTAAATCACAAGGCCCCTATACTAGGTGCAGAAAATGAATAGAAAGAGGAATTAGTATAATGAGACTCCATGGAGTACTATTATAGTTAGCTAAACCTATACCCATACCAGTGTTAAGAGACTATGGGGATAGGAATGATAGTAGACAAGAGTCTACTGAGTAGAGGTACTATTGGTTAGATATCTCAGGAGAACATGGTTTGCTATAATGAGTGGTATATAGGGACTAGTAAGGAGTGGAAATTACCTGACCCAGTAGGGTAACCGAAGTAGTCAATTTGGAAGTTAAACTGAATTACTGAATAGTAAGTCAAGGTAGAGTTATCCTACTCTGTAAGATAACCCAAGGTGCTATTACCCTACCTTCAGACTACAGTTACCTGGTTATGGAGCCAAGTAACCCTATCTTGAAAGTAACTTCTTATGTGTAACTGGTACAGGTACTCGGTTCAGGAATTTGTTTTATGTTTTGTTTTAAGTATCATTTTAAGTTTTGTTCATGCAAGACATCAATAGATCGGTGTATTTAAGAGCGCCTGATTCTACCATGGAAATTGTCAATGTTAACAGACAGGATTTCAATATACTTACTTGAATAGTTACATTTTAATTTCTCCAATACTATTAGAAATACTGGGATCCGATACCTCGGAACCACTCTAGGGAGGGTAACTCCTCTCAGAATCGGAATCCACGGTCTCCAACACTCCCCTCCTGCCCCCTTAAGGGGCCTGCACATTATCATATATATCAATCTCAGTTACACTTGGTGACTATAATGCCACAGAATTGAAAGTGTAAGAATAATACTGTATACATTGCTGTCGTCAGTTGGACTGGATCCTGTTCACAGGATATATAAGTGGGGACCTTCGGCTAGGTCTGGGAAGTAGAGTGGAGCAAATGTACAGACTACTCAAGAAGTTACTAGGCTTCAAAGATGTGACATCTTGGCAGAGGCCATATGTGATGGGACGTTTTGGTACAAAGAGATAGTATTGAATAATAATGGATCTCAATAAGAAAACAATATATTTGCACCCACTCTATGATAATCAGAAGAGTCCAGAACTTTGAGGGACACTATCATAGAAGCCAATGGACTTCACGGAGTGTTACAACTAGGGTTTAAAATACATTTTAGTTGCGGGAATGATTCTTAATACCAAAACGGTGATTGAAACCCTATTACCCAGAGCAACCAGGAGTTGCTAACCAAAGGATTATCTGTCAATCTGGTGGAACAGCTTCCTGAAAATTAGTGGGAAGTCCTCCAGAAGATATCTGTCTGTTAGGTAGGGAGTTATGAAGGTTTGAAGTCAGGTGACCTAGAAAGGCTATGATTATAACAAACTTTGCAGATACAACCTGCACATGAAACTGATCATTTCATCAATGACAGAGACAATTGGGGCCAACTTAGTTCGACTTGAGCACTAGGCCATATGTCTAAAGACTCTGATGATCGGATAATTATGATTGAGGACAGTATGGATTCCAGTTATTTATATCGTAATTACCTAAGAGGGTGTCGTAACTTTCATGATTTCAAGGGATTCGCACTATTTAAGAATATCTGACGTTATGAGTTATAATCAGA